TTCTCTAGGGAGCATTGTCTCAAATACAGGAGGAACAGACGAGGATGTCAAATCGAGCGAGAATCGGGAAGGCGAGAAACACATTCATCAACCTGAAACCAATCTGGATATCTTTGTTACTCAGCCAGCATCGACAACAAAATTCAGTCGGATTTTCAATACAAACAACGCCAAGTCAGTTCTTCTATACGGATCAGGAACTCGGCGGTCGAGTCACTGAGAATATTTCAAACAGCCAGTTGCAGACCTTTACCGACAATTGTCTTTGCTCTATACTGAAGATCAGATGGCCGAACAGGAAAGAATCACCAACAAAAAACAATGGGAACAAACAAATTAAACAAGAACCAATGGCCCAACAAATATGCAAAGGAATGTGGAAATGAATTGGACAATCCCGTTAAGTGCACTCGATATTATTCTGAATACCAACACATAAATGGCTTTAAAATAAACTCAACTAACCTTAACGCTTACTGTTGTAATATCTGAAGTTATCATATCATCACACCACAACAAGTCTATTTGTTGGTGACATACGCTCACGAAATATCTTTTTAATTTCGTCTTTACTTCAAACAATAATTTTGACAAAGTGTGAAAATAGTATCATGTAATATAACGCACCTTCACTCAGTATACATTCAGCATGAATGTCATTCCTGCTCCACATATCACAAAAGTGTTCCACTTTCATTAACTCACGAAAGTTTTTTGATTATAGTGAAAAGTTGATGAGCACGACATCAGTGGAACCTCAGAATTGTTAACGATGCATAATTCACAGTTTTGTTGGCCTTCAACATACTATGACGATAGTAATGCATGATTTAAAATTTCAGAGAGTTCTGTGTGTGTGTAATACTTTTTGTTATCCTATCAGGTTATACATACTAACACCATGTAGTACAATTTTCGAGGACAAAGTAAACCAGTGTCTGATTGGTCTAAAGATTTCTGTGTTAATTATAATCACGATTGTACAGCTCATGAAAATGAATCGTCGAAAAAAAATTTCCTTCGCTGATTTTGCCTTTTTCTTATGAATCAATATGGGAATGTTTCGTTCATTGAAGAACTCCAAGGACCCTGTGACAGTAAAGGAATTAGATAAATTTCAGCGTTTCTCTTTCACGCTTGCTGAAGTTAACACGAAGCTTAATTTTCTGAAACGATAAATCGATAAGCATCAATATCCAAAACATGACCGGAAGAATCTACGCCGCAATCATATTTATCTTAATTCAAAGACACTAAAACGTCACACACTGAATCACATCGCCGCCATCCGCCTACGCATACCCGAACTTGAGCGAAACTTATCACTAAGAACCCATGGTTTATATGGACTATCCGATGATGAATGACAAACATTCCGGGGTAAGGTCTCTGATGTCATACAAAAAAGTTGTAACAATACTACTTCACGACTAACAAAAAGCCTGAAACCATCTGAAACTCTTTCGTCGTTTCCACAGAATCCGGAGAAATATGTCCTTAATTTTTCGAATTTACTTCTGACTCCTGTTCAAATGCAAGTGCTATCACTTGGCAGAAACCCTCGCCATGTATCGAGTAAAACCAAAGAATTACAAACTAAAGTGGAGTTTGAGAATTTAATGCCACAGACATCCGATTTCTCACCTACTCCTGAAAAAGATCTGGATTAATTCAAAGCTTTAATTCTTGAGAGCTGTTACAAGTACACTCGTACGCAACTGAGTCACCGTTATCTACTGACCAAGGAACACAGAAGACAACTTAAACAACTTCAAGCATGTTTTAATAATTGAAGAGAATTTTGTGTGTGACAGTTTTCGTTATTCTATCAGTTTATGCACACTTATGTAAAATCACCATAGTGTTCATCATAAATCTGAGGCATAGCATAAAACAGTGACCTTTGTATGCCCAGAGCTGGTTCCAAGTGTACTAATGGCTTATTCAACTGTCTCAATACTGTCGAGGTAAGATGGTCCAGTTTCCTTATCCAGTTCTGTAATTGAAAGTCTCTTCTCAGGCGAAAATGTTATAATGCCCATCAATGTTGAAAAAAACAAACAACCAAGTTGAATGTAAAGCTTTCGCATTCAGTTTGTATGGTCATGGAAAAGTCGGTCATCTGAATATGCACTGTGATAAAATCAACTTCACTACTTGTGTGAATTATGCACTCACCAGTGTTGGCCTAGTATATGACTGAATGAAATTCTAAATGTCTGTATGTACATACCGATTGTTGAATAAGCGTGCAAAGTTTTTCTGATTTCTTATAAAATATTTTTTTCTACAAAGTTGTTTTGAAATATCCTTTGGCAACATAGAGATTCTGGATTCTACATCAGTTATTCACCTCTTTACAAAGAGGTTGAAGATACATTCAACATCTGGATATCGCGTCAACATTGATACTTAAAATTAGGAGACATTAGTTGGCCTAGATGTTTAAATTTCAAAAAAAATTTAGGCGACGAACTACAATTAATGAATCAAAATTCAATAATTTAAGGTTCGTCTAGCTTTATTTTGAAAATATATTCTTTCAAAGACTTTGTATGACTCCAGTCTAGATGCTGAGAAACTTCGTTTCCATATTGCGAGTGGAGCAAATCGCTGACAATATTATGCACAAATTGGATTTTTATCACCCCACAATTCAGTATCTAGTATTTTACATAATTTTCATTGCACTATTTACAATTATACGGACCCTAGAAACTCGATGAGTGATTCATGATATATTTATCCTGTATGATTCAGCATTTCAGATTCTTCAAATATTATTGATTTATTTGTCCGATTCTTCAACAGCAGTTCGACATCTCTTCACTATATATTCATGTTGTATTTCAAAAAAGGCCTCGGAACAAAGTCCTATCACCTTTGCAAGGATGTGTTCCATTTCACTGTGGTGTTGATCAGTTACGTGAATTTGTTTGAAAGAGTTGACCAGGAAGTGTGTGATACGACATTCTTGTCAAGTAAGTGGAAATATCTTGCTCGAAATGCATCTGTTGGATTTCATCTTTCGCACTGCTATGTCATGAATCACCATCTGTAAATAGCTATATATGGTTTTGTCAGCTGCAGAAGCAGATTCGTTTGCACACTTTCAAGTTGTGTTTTCAACCTCACCCTTCTGAGTATATTTTGCGTTATTATCAGTACTCGTTGTGTTTATATTTAGACTGGACGGTATAGCTAATTAGCAGCACTATTAAGAAACATTTTGATTTGTGATGAAACCACTTTTTCGACAGAACTTTCAAATTATTGAAAAATAGTCAGTTTTTGTGTATGTGCGGCGTCTGCGTTTCACGATTATGTGTGTCTAAAGAAAATTAATCAGACTGTAGAAAACAGAGATCGAATCGTGTGACCAGAGTGAAACGAGTCTCTCTTTCTGGTAACATTCAAACGTAAAATGTTCCTTTATTTTCAATCGATTTCATTCACATTTATCTCATGTGTAACTGAACTTATGTCGCACGAAACAATTCATTGAACTATGTTCAATATGCTCATTTCTTCAGAGGAATGTCATGTGTTTTCACATGTCACTGAATTATCTATAAATAAAGTCTTAAATAAAAATTCCATTTATTTCAAATAGATTTTCACATCATTCAACGGAGAAATTCTCGTATTTACAGACGAAATGCATAAAATTTATCAGGTGTCATCACTCATTTAGGCACAGGTTCGTCGAGATATCGATAAATGATATGACTAATAATATTTCAACTGGTGAAGAAGGTCAATTTTAGTTATACTGGTTTTGAAATGTGGTGGAAAAAAAGTCAGTGGGAGACGTAAATAATTTATTTGTGTTATGGCAGTCAACAAATTTATGAAAGGTTCAGTTAAAACATGAAATCATTTATTATGCCTTCAATATGATATATGAGCAAACGGATAATGAAGAAAGATTTTATTCACTTCTGGGTAAAAAACCAGTTTTAAAACTTTTTGAAGTGGGAATATCACAGAAATCTGTGAAGAGTTGTTCCTTTGAATTTGCACAAAATTGAAGCTTTCATGTCATTCCCACTTTTATTCAGTCACACAAGAACGGTAATAAAAACTCCAGTTGCACTTTTAACATGATAGCAATACACACCCAATTAGAAATAAGCATACAAAATTTGTAACACATACAGAAATGATTTCTGAATTCGTTAGCATCATTTGGATATTTCCAATTTCATGAGAAAGTAAATTATGGATAACACTGATAATTGTTGAAACATGTCTGTCAATGTACTTCAAAGCATTTTACGTAAAAAATACTTGACAGACTTGCACATTATTAGCTGAAATGGGAAACCAAATGTACGAGGGATAAAGTTACATTTTTCCATAATCTGTCTCATATTTTGCAACAGATCAACCATACACAGACCTACAGCATATATCGCTCAAGTGATATCCAGTACTTCAAATCCTCTGTTCTTGGGGACAATGATTTCGTGATGAACGCGTCTGTTTTTCCATGATAAAATAAGTTATCCATCATAAAAATAAGTAAAATATCAATCGGAATCAGATGGGAAGTTCAAATTTTCTTCCACTCATAATTCAAATTAGGTGGCACATGCCTATGTAGAGATCATGTGAACATAATAACATGCATCTGTTCAGCTGGCAATTCTGAAACTCTTTCAAAGTGAGTTAAATCACATCTATCAAAAATATTTTGGTATATGAATACCTGTCACGAGAACAAATGGTTGTGGTACTCTCTTCTTCTGGTCAATAGGCAAATAATGTAGCAAAGTCTCTGAGATATTGGAAATCACCACGTTATCACTCCACATAACACACATCGAAATGATGTTAATTGTTGTATTGGCGCTGAGAGTTTGATCCACAAACAATTGCCTATTTATCGCATCTAAATACTAAGAACATTCCCAAAAAGAATGACATGGCTTTACAAGACACAGTTCATTAGTTGTCAGGTAAACATTTGTTATGAATAAAGTGGAACGCTTACACTCTCACTTCTGTGTCTGTGTGCGGAAAACGTATCGATGTAATTTCAAGAATAAAGTGAGTGCATGGAGAATGTATTCAGCATTTCTAAACATCAACATCGAAAGGATTTGATTTAGTAATAATAATAAAATACTACATACATCTACAGTGGAACATCTTTAGGTAATATCACTTCAAATGAGAATCAAGTTGGGTTTCGACCGTTGAATCATCAGCACGTCAATGAAAGCGAAGCAAATAAGGAATTTCCACGAAGTGAGCAATCAAGCAATATTTGCATCCGTTTCATCATGGGATGTTACGAATTATTTACTCTTGTGAAATCACATACAGAAATTGTATAACAGTGGTTCTCAGTCAAATAGCAGCGGCCTTGATGTATATTTGGATTACTTATATTATTAATAATTTCATTATTTCCTTTATTTCTTCGAGGAACATAGGACTTCAGCCGCGCGTCTCCATTGCGTTTGGTTCACCGCTAGAGTTTTCACCTGGCTCCAAGTCTGCCCACATGCTTTCATCTCCTCTTCACATAAACTCCTCCAAGTCACCCTTGGAAGACCAACTCGTCACTTCCTTTTCAGGTTCTACTTTCTTTTTAATAAGAATCCCACTTTCATTCTGATTCGCTGTCTGGGATAGTTTTCTAGGCCACGCAGTTCAAAAAGAGGACTTAAAACGTACCCACAAAATGTCTTCAGATAGATATGAGTGTATTATGAACAACAGTTAAAGAAGTGACCGTGATGACTGACTGACTTTAGGAATCGACCAGCTATCAGATTAATGGTCAGTTAAATAAGAAGCATTGAGAACGAATTTTTGCGAATATTGACTTCAGGGGAGTTAGTATAAAGTCAGCCGTCTGGCAATCTGATAATCATTTGGCTATCCAGTGAATCCTGGAATATAAATAGTCAAGTAATCATCAAATTTCCACTTCTATTGCGATTTCGTTTGCTGCAGTTCGGTTGAAATCGTTAAGATTTTCCCAATGACCATTCGATTCATACAAGAAATCTGCGAATCAATTGCGATGATCCTCATCGGAAATAAGCAGCATGTGTCATTGCCAGTGTCTTAGCATCATCATTCAAACATGTGAATGCACTAACTAGGTTACATTTTGATTTTACGGAATCAATTACTACGGATTTGCTATGATAATTTCCTCACCATTCGCTGATTCTGACAGATAATCAGTCATCCAACTATTTTTGTGTGCTCTTTGAATACCATTGCAAAAGGAGACTGATATACCTATCCATACTAAACATGAGTTGAGAAAATGTTTATGGAGAGTACATCTACTGAAAACACACTTTTCACCATATTTTGGATGTCATTTTGTTCCCAACTTGCTAATCGCCAAGCCTCTTCCTATGAGTGAGTTGCACTCAAGAGGATACATTCATGAAAATACATTTTGAAATGAATAAAAGAAATTCTGAATACACACTTATGTATGTGTGTAGTTGGGAGAACATTTAAACAGGCAACCGTTATGACTTACCCGTGATGATGCAACAGTCAGCTATCATATGAAGTATTATCACAGCGCAATTTATTGGCAGGAAAAGTTATTAAATGTGAATCCCCATAAATAAAAGCACATTCATTTAATCCTGGAAAAGAATGATTCAGCAGACTAGAGTATAATGAATTTGTCACCTGAATGAATGGTTTGCCTTGCATAATCACTACTTTATTTCGTGACAGTCATGATCTTAAATTATCTTTCTCGTGTCATCTCTCCTGTCACGCGTTTTTTGCTACACTACTTGAAATGATTCCTCTTCGATTAGTTGGATGTTTCACAAAGGTGCACAGTCTGATACTAATGATAATAATTGTAAGAAACAGGCGAGAATGCTCACCGTAGCAACAAAAATTCTAAAAATCATAAATACTTACAGAGGTCTCCGGACTATCAATCTATCATTCAAGTAACCAGTGTAACACCATTTGCCGACAATTAATTTCAGGCAGTTTATATTAAGTGAACACAATTTAAGAAGTAACTGCAATTCAAACATGAATAAGGCAACAGAACACAAGAACTGTGCCAACCTTAGCCTTCATATCAAGAACATCAGAAAGTTAAGACATTTGTGGAGTCCTACTTTACTCCTGCTATCGTCAGTTATCAATTGATTTTCCAGTCACATATTATAGAAACTAAAATCTAGATCCGGTTAAAAAAACATAGAAATAAGAATCGGAAATCGCCTGAAATATCTCTAAAGATCTCTGAACTGAATATATATGTAATCAACTGATGGCTTTCACTTAAAATTAGTGAATGCTAGAAAGTATGTCCAATATATGAAGGCATGAAAAAAACATAAAGTCAAATATGATAGAGAGTGGTTCACTCAAGTCTCAAATAACAAAAAACACATCACATGACTACATATCACATATATACTAACCATAGCTGACCTTCGCTCCTGTTATCATATTAGAATTTAACATCACAAAACTCAAATTATTCTGGAAAAACAAGTGAATATCCAAGTGATAACATCTAAACTGATTTAGAATTATTATCATTTAAATGGATTCCTCTTCGGAGCATCATCATCGCCAAGAAACACATGCTACTGGAGAGTTTTCTTTCATATGAACAAGCCATTTACATCAGTTCCATGGAGTTCCAGTTTTATGAAACACGAAATGAGACAGTGATCTCTCAATATTATTATTAATTAGTAGTTAATCACAATTAAGCGCAGATGTCTCGTACTAAAGAAGTCACTGTCAGTATCATGTTCGGTGTGTGATATCTGACAATCTGATACACATAGGCTGCAACGAGTGAACAGGACAAATCTGAATTTGGGGATTGAAAATCGACTGACCTGGATTAGTGTGAAGCATTTTATAGTCTGCCTACTTAACAATTTGTTATTCACAGTTGAAGTGGATTTGTCCTACTATTATACCTTACATAGAAATCTTCAATTTCTGCCAATTACTTGATTAATATATTTACTTCCACCTATTCAGCTACTTAGAGTGAGTCAAAATACGTCACCTGTAGAATTGTCTTAATCATGATTTTTGTCCAACGCCACAAAATAGATATTATTATTAAATAGTTATACTCTCATGAAATGTAAGAATGCTTACCACAAAATCATTTGCTGTATCTATAAATAAAGCGAAATAGTGCTTCATTTGTAACGTGCATTTTACTCACTTGTCCTCGTCATGAGACATGCAGTTAAAAGTAGTAATGTGTGTACAACCCATGTGCTATTTCGTTGCGAATATCGCAGTTGAAAGCCGAAAACTGTATCAGGAACAAACGAATTCGCCAGCTACAAACTACCATTAAATCCACTCTGTATTGAAAATAATCTCATCTTAAGGAAAAGGGGAAGCTCAATAATCAAACCAGTTAAATGTCTCAGTATAACATTATTGAAACCATCTCTCTTATAGACAATGATATAAAAATATAGTTAGATGAATATATACAGAAACATACCAGAGCAAAAATACGGATACACTAGACCTATGTAATAAACAAATGAATAAAGTGGGGAGATGAATTTCCCTTCCTATTCTGAAAGATTTAAAAGGTGTGAATGGAATGTGTAAGGTGACGTTCAGTGTTGGGCTTATCAACAATTCACTGCCATGTGATATTGCTTTGCTTTACTTTTCCGCTTAGTGTCTCTAACATTTCAGATAAAATGTCGCCTACAAAACCCTCTGCATTTGATTGCACGTCACATAGTTTTAAATAAATTATAAGTCCGCAGATGCTCTCTTTTGGTACACAATGAGATTATTTAACACTATCCTGTAGCTCATGACACAGTTAAATGGTTCATTAGCTATCTGGAAATACCGGAGATGTAGAACGTTGTTCTTGGAGAAGACTGAATGTAATTGACTGTAATGCAAAGCTACTAAATGCAAAACTACAAAATCTGGCAGTTTTAATTACTATGCACAAAACATTTGCAAATGTCATTTTTGATGATTACGATACCTCCCAACAATATTCATTTTCAATGAATTCAACTCAGGTATTATACCACTCGTAAACACAGATCAAAGAGAACCTTTAAATCAGCCGGAGGATGATTGCAGAACCATATTTAATGTCAGATCGTTCAATGGAGTATCCGTTGGGAATAACAATTTCCATCGAACTACAATATTTCGACGTCTCACATGCATTCATTTCACGTTTATTGGAATAGAATGTCTTATTAGCTGAGCAGAAGAAACAATTACATTTATAGTCACTACTTCTTTATTACGTAGATGTTTCTATTGTTATAATCTGAATAAGTAAAAAGAACTTCAGAGCTAATTCCATCGTGAGTAAATTGTATTTTGATTAAGTCTCACAGTGTTGCACAGTAATGTTTACTGATGACGTTTCGAGCACAATTTATTGCTCATAATCATATCAAGGTACTCACATGACTTCTTAACTTCGTTTATATATTTCCATTGTTTTTCATTTGATTTTCACTTGATTTGACTGGTAGTAGTATTTTCCTTATTTCAGGTATGAGTGACGAGTCATTCCTATTGCATGTGTTTGTTGTAGACTCGATGAACAAGGATTCAGTAATCAACCTCTCTCTCCACCTACCTAGATTACTTTTTAGAATTTTAACCCTCTCCCACCCTATTGTGTGGTTGTGTGTTAGCGCATGCATTGCAATTGCTGAGCTTTTTTCTAGGTAACTTATCTTCTCGGGGACAACCATTCTCACCTTAGCTGAATTCTTATGTTATGTCAATCTAACTACCCCTGACCTACTAGTTTGACCTATGTAGTTGATCTGACTCACAGTCATTGCAGGGTATTTTGTAAATTATATTATTTTGTCTAATTGGTCAACTGGGTCTTTTAACTTACAGAGCGTGTCCAATCTGAGTGAGTTCGTAGGTTTAAATGCCACCCTGATTCCTGCTTTATTCAGAATTAAGGTTATCCAGGTAGGTTGGGAGAGAGGTTGATTACTGAATCCTTACTCATCGAGTCTACACCAAACACATGCAATAGGAATGATTCATCACTCATACCTGAAATAGAGAAAATACTACTACCAGTCAAATCAAGTGAAAATCAAATGAAAAACAATGGAAATATATAAACGAAGTTAAGAAGTCATGTGAGTACCTTGATATGATTATGAGCAATAAATTGTGCTCGAAACGTCATCAGTAAACATTACTTTATCAAAACAAAATTTACCCATAATGGAATTACACTCTACCACATCGCACCAGTTTTATTCTTATATCAGCTTCAGAGCTATTTATGGAACTATCAGTTGGATTATTGAAATAAATGAATCCGTCGTTACAACTCACAGAAAAGAAACAAGAGCAGTCCTGACTCGCACGGTGGTAGATACATGATATCTGGAATGAATAAATATCTGTTTTATGCCTCGTGTAAATTGTACTGAAACACGCATAAGGAGATACGAATATATGATTGGTAAACAGTATAAAAAACCCTCTGAAATTACAACGGACTGGTTGGAGTTCGTGAATTATTATTCAATTTACTATTAAAATAAGCCACTACTTACACAAGAGAATAGATGTTATAATAGTCAACCATATTCTGGTTAACATGTTCCTGCTAACGAAATACTTGATTTTGGCATGGAATGTTTAAGCAGCATTTATATATTGCAAATTGCATGATCTCTGATTGGCTTTCAATAAACTTGCATTTATTGATGTCATGTGAAACACACATCACATAATTCGATGTTTCGGACCTGAAGACTTCTGATTCGCGTAAAAGTGGAACAAGTATAAAAGACAGACAGACAGACGAAATATTGGTAGCATTCCTTACACATGTCTTCTTGTCTTCTCTTAATGCGAGTATAACTGGGCTGTTAAGAATATTGGTATTTAGCTTAGAAAATGAGTGATTGCATCTCCCTTCTCATTAAGTGTAACACACACACGATGCACATATTTACCAGAGAAAAATTCTATGCAGCTTTGAATATAGAATTCATTTGTCATTTATGTTTTCACTACTCCCTAAGAAAACTGTTACAGCACACAACACTTTATTAGCGCGTTCAAATCAGTTTTAGATAGGTAAGATATTCGTTCTATTTGTTAGTAACCATCTCAGATATACCTGAGGTGACAAATGGAATGACGCTAAAGTTATAAGTCATCACGAATAAAGAATGTCTGAAATTATAGTACATATTGAGAAATTTAGTTGCTCCTATTACGAAAAATCGGTCTGAGATTCAGTCTTCTTCTGCTCAAGTGATGGATAGCATTCATATCAAGAAGACATCAGCTTAATGCACCTGTAGCATCCGCACGTCATGGCTTCGCATTTCCATTCCCGAAATGGCATTTCATAGCCATTTCATTCGACGAAGCGTTATCAACTAGGTTACTGATCAACGACAGTCATCGATTGTAAACCGGTTACTGTATTGCCCTAATATTAATTCTAGCTGAATGCTTATAAAACGAATTTATGTATCCACATTATGCTTATACAGAAAATAGTTTTACCTATGCTTACCGAACATTTGTCATTGTAATTTTCAACATTGGTTTTCTGTTGCCATGATATATTTTTAGAAATTTTTGTTCTTATAGATAGATTGCACTGAGTATTTTGTTACGATTATTTAATTTTCACTGTTTGATGCTTGTTGCTCAAATTTGGCACTCCAATCAGTGATGTCAGGTGTCGCTTGGCTAGGGATTGAATCCGGCGATCTATTCCACCGCTGTGTCACCCTACTTGTACCAAAAAATACAGTGTGGAATCAAGCTGTGGTGAAGAATAAAAATTAAAATAAATTAAATGCAATAATATTTGTCAGCATACATTAGACAAGAATCATATGTTCAGTGCATCATTTCATTAGTTTGACGTAATGTTTTTCCTCAGGTTTTACTCATATTTGTGCATGAAATATCCAATAGGCCTAACCTTGAGTTTAGCCCTGTTCTACTGAATCAACATCTTGTGATTATTCTTTTGATGGATAAGTGCTTATCGCGATAATTTCGTAGTTGAACATCCAATACATGTCAGCAGATAAGTGGAACCGATGAAAACGGTTTGAATGTAACGAATAAACAACTGACCATGGATTAACGGAATGAATGGAATAACTGAAACCCTAATATCTTTTATAATTTGTGGTTGTAAGCTTTTACATTCAGGTGAACAGTTAGAATTTTTCAAATGTACATTACAAGTATTACCTCAGTGGTTCTCATTTCTGCTAAATGCATTTCCCTGATTCAACTATAGTAGTAGTAGCTTCTGTTAACAGTTTTTATTTCAGATTGCTCACAAAATTTATGACACACTCCTAATTACTTTTGTTTATTAGTAAAATATTGACAAGTTGATGGCCACTTCCTATGTCTAATTAAATCCTATGATTGGATTTATGAACACTTTGTGCAAACCGAAAGTAGATTTCACAAGCATAACTAATGTCAGACGATTTTTATTTCCGGCAACATTTTCTACCTTCACTAATAAAAGCGTCGTGCTCTCCTATTATCTCTCACCTAGTCAGCTGTTTTGGAGAAAATGTCATCATGAAAGTACTTTCAGTTAAGAGAACGCATTAGATTTAACAGATATCGAAACGTTTCGCTAGGTTTTGAAGTGGTTTTATTATTGTGATTACGTATGGAATTTAGAAATGTCCAGCTTGTGAGTGGCTAATAAGAATTAACAGTGCCTTTTATAGAAGTTAATTCAGTATCTCTGATAAATAAAAGTGTATTTGGAAATGCAGCTGCATTAGGGAATGTGAAATAAATGAAGTATACATAAGCTTTGAGCGCTAGATAATAAAGACACTCTCATCTCAATTTACCATAAAATGAATCAGGAAAGAATAATCTCTGCCATGTCCTACAACAAACTTACAATTGTTTTCATGCACATTTCGCACATATAAATACTGAATGATATGGAATCCTGAAATCAGACCTGTAAAAATCGTAATAATCAATCTTTTCCTAAATATGTAATAAGCATATCACGCAATACACACTTCGTTATTGGTCATGTTTTCATGATGCATTTGTCTAGCACCGCGCATACTTCGTAATATCAAAACAATATTTCACCTGATTTCAAGACTGCAGATGACCAATTCATGAATCTAATGTCCTGCTCAAACATGAGTTGTGAACACTTTGGTTGCATAACGTATCATGTGTAGGTGAAATTGACAGGGCATTTATTGGTGAGACTATAAAATTGAACTAATCGATAACGCCTACTCATCGTCATTTTTCTCCTCAAAATTTCATATTATTTCAGATATCTAATGGAAGCGAGTGACCGTAGCAGAAAACATGAAGAATGAAGGTGATTCGGTTATCCGGTAACACACATACGATGAAGTATGTAATCGATAGGTCCATTTAGTCACCAGATAGATTATTAAGATAAGTGTTCTCATCATATCTCGATATAATTATAAAGGTGTTTTTCAAAGAGTTACCATTCTACAATCGTTTGTATCAGATATTTGTGAAAATATCTCTACGGATGCTTTTACATGTTTTCGCAGTAAATAACAAGCGGGTAGATTGCGATGAAACATTTAAGTGATTTGACAAATTCATTCGGCTAGAAATAAAGCTGGTAAAGGAAAGGTTAGGCATGAAGTAAGCAACCCTATCCTGTAAAAATGAACACTGCTACAGAAGGGTTAAACCACTAGTTTAAAGCCATTTCTTCAATTAGGAACGTGAAGGAATACAAATAAGAAATGCATCATTAGAGAAATCAAAATTGATATTATCAAATGAACGCGTATATCCAGTTTAAATCACTAAGATAATATACGCATATACAAAAGTTAAATGTTACTCATTTGAAAAATGGCGAATCAATGAGAAAAAAGAAAGGCTACTTGAAAATATACACGTAAATTATCAATGGGAAACACTTTTTTACAATGAGGAAATAAATATAGGAGAAGAATGAAGTCTGTGTTAAGCTCGAATATACATTACACATAACACTAGCTTTCGATCGGTAAGTAATAAATTAGAAACCTGAATTCAGTAACAGTAGCATCATTTCAACCAATTTACAAAGAGATCATAAATCCTGAGCTTGCTCAATATATAGACCTTTCACATTCAAAACTATATTTCCACTTAGAAAAAAAGTGTTTCGCACACTATTTCAGTCTGAGTTGAGGCAGCATATATCGAATATGCTTATTTTCTTACTTGAAAAGAAATATCTTCTGTTTCAATTGTCACCAGGCTGATAAATGACATTGTATTTCAGAGAGATAAACACGTACAGTTTTGAATTACGGTGAGACGTATTTTCGAATATTTCATCATACAGCGGGCTTTTTGCTTTTATTAAAGCATCAATCAATCACTGTATATACACTTTCGAATGTAGTTGTAAATTCCTGTTCTCTTAACTAATTTTCCAGAGAATCGCGTCATCAGTCATTAGAGTGAAAAATCTAGTGTGTAGATAGAGCAGAATCATCTAACAGACATCTGTTTACGCATGAGAATAGATAGACCTTAACCAGTGCTACTCTATACATTGCATATATTCTGTCTAATATGTTCACTCGTTAATCTTGACAGACAGGTGTCAACAAGATACATGAAAGCATGTGAATCACTTATGGAACTAGGAAAAAACAGACACAATAACGAATCAGTTTTAGTTTAATGGAGGTTCATACAAATGACACCTGCTGCACCCTACTGGTCACGAATTTCTGCTAGAACCCTAGGTCATTGTCTAAGTAGGGCCAGTATTTGTTGAGCATCAGGTTAATTTTTAAGTACTGGTTTTGCATGGATTTATTTTAGTTTGACCGCTCGGAGGATTTCATCATGAGCTGACCTCAGTAAGAGCATTATTGAAAAACGTGCAGGTACTCGAGAACCATCTGCTAGGTCAGCCTATTTCGACATTCTGTTTCAGCAGTGCGCACACACCTGGGTTCAAACTCAGGATTTTCTTGTTAGAAGGCGAGCTCGTAAACCGTTAAGCCACTGGGTCCTAATCCAATGGCTAGCCATGAGTTCGAACTTCTCACGATTCATGACATTAAGCGACCACTTCGCAACTTCTTCTCAGATGAGTCACTGCATCATGAGTTTGCTCTTTCCCTTTTCTGACTGAAGTGTACAAATATTTGGCAGTCAACTTGGCATGAATGTTATCAACACCTCCAGGTAATTTAACACCGTGTGATACGGAATAATTTCATTCCGTTTTTAGGCCAGCTTCCAATAGGTTAGTCAACTCAGCTTTCATTCGACATGACTCACACTCCAAAGAAAACAACTTAAGTTAATCGAAGTAATATAGGTATACTTACAGTCTTATCTCACTATCCGTGTGCAAAGTTATTATCTGATATAATGCGATGAATAACGCAGATATAACGGTTAGTGAACTCGGTTTCATTTTGAATACCAACACAGAAATGGCTCGTCTAAATTTAACACTTACTTTTGTAATATCTGAAGTTACCACATCATCACATCTCAACAAATCTCTTTTTTAGTAACATACAGTCAAGAAATATCGTTTTATTTTCTAAAAGTTTCATTCAAATTTG